TACAGAGAAGCTCCTTGTGAGTTTGCACATACCTAGCAAAACCACACCCCTATTGTCAGCCTAAAGATGACACCATAGTCTTGTGGGGGTTCAGAGAAGTGAGCTTCATCAGGTAACTCCATGTGCACCAACAGATAGTTTGTCAACCAATTTGCGCACTGGTTGCCCTCCCGAAGAATATGCATAAACCGAATATTTCATTGACGACTAACAAATGCTTGTATTCGAGTCAGTAGGTGGGATTCATGAGCTTCATTGCCTTTCTTAGAAAACAATGCAATAATTATTTGACAGTGGTTTTCTACCAAAACATTTCTCCAACTTGCGTCCAAAGCTAACTGCAACCCTTTTAACACTCCTCAGAGTTCCTCTTGTAAAGTAGCAAATGTCCAATTCTTGCAGCAAAAGAAGCCCTTCACAAGTTGTTTCAGTCGTTTGACTCTTTGAGACCCCATCTGTATTTAATTTAACATATGGAGTGTAATAACCCAAAAAAATAAAAAAAGAATAAATAATAAAAATAATAATTATAGTGTATACCCTTACGTGTGTAACACCATCTATTTTAACTAATATAGAGAATATCACATTATGTATTATTAATAATAAATAAATATATAAAAATAAAGTAGTGTAAACTTTTAAAACATTGATTTAAATAGCAAACTTTACTCAGTTACTTTATACATGGTTCTTAGTCAAGCACATATATTTTAGTCAAGAACCCCTAACTCTTTTTGATCGAATTGGTATCCTTTTTTATCGAACCCCTCAAACTTGATTTTATGCTCTAATAATCAGGAATGGCAAAAAAGAGGTATCCTTTGGAACAGCTCTAATGCTCTAATGATCGAGAAGTTGTTTAATGATAAAAGCACCTTGGGGCTTCGGGAAGGGGCCATCGGCGATTCGATCAAAAAGAGCGAGGGGTTCGCAGAGGTGCCAAAGGATATCGCTTTTCTGCCATTCCTGATTATTAGAGCACTAGAGCTGTTCCTTGAAAACTCGATCAAATTTGGTTGGTACTTATATGCTTCAATGGCTTTTCCTTTTAGTTTCTTACTTTGCTTCAACCAATTGGGGTTTGGGAATGTGAGATTTAACACCATTATGAAAGTTTTAATAAGTATGTTGATTTGATACAATCACAAAGTACAGAGGGTTAATTGAAATAATTAAAAGCATAAGGTGAGTAATTTGAAACATGATCAAAAGTTCAAGGGAGTAAATTATATTTTAGCCTTTTTTATATGTAAAATTTAAAAAGTATATATCTTTTGTGCATCTTTTGAACCTATATACCGGGCTAGAATGTCTAGGATTTATTCATAATGGTTCAAGTCCAACACCAAATCTTTCTAGAGAAGCAACCGCAAACTGTCAAATTACCTCATCCAATTGCTACACAATTGGCTTTGCTCTGCAGACTCAATAATCATGTTACACTAATACCTCAGCTATTTGCTTGTTTACATATGTAGCGCAAAGTCACACTATTCTCACGAGAAGATTTTTTATGAGCCAGGACCATGGTGGTCCCTCCCCAAAAATAGAAAAAAAAGAGGGACGAAGGAGGAAAAAATAAAAAAGAAAAGAGTAAAAATGGAAGAAAATTTTCCATTTATAAAAAGGGACTACTGAATAAATGGTGAGCCTGGAATATATTAAATTTTTCCCTATTCTGACACCTTAGACAAGTTACATGTGCACAGCATCATAGCTAATAGTACTATTTATCTACATCAACATAACACTCCACCGCCACACCACACCTGCACCTACACATTGGCACCAGGCTACAACGGACACTTTGGTGTCGCATGGTTTTCTCGACCACTTCTCCTATATCAATGCAAATCCTATTATATACTGTTGAAATATATAAAATCATTAATGTAGTTTCACCTAACAACTTAAGTTTTTTGGTTGAATTGGTTCTTTACATGGTATCAGAGCCTCGTGTCTCGAGTTCGATCATCGCCCCCCACTTTCTCTTGTGGAATTTCTTAGCACAGATAAGCTGGACCTGTTGCATCATTCACCTTTCAAGCCCAATAGACTCTCTTGTGAGGGGGGGTGTTGAAGGCTCTCTTGTGAGGTTGTGTTGAAATATATAAAATCATTAATGTAGCCTCACCCAACAACTTAAGCTTTTGGGTTGAATTGGTTCTTTATAATAACATTGATATCCACTTGTTGGATCATATTACACAAGCCCCCAATCTTTCTCATGCTATAATTGTGAAAGCTCAAATTCTCAGTTACACATGCTCCTTCCATTCTACATACTTTAACTCAATTATACATATACTAAGTGTTGGATTCATTGCTAGTGTCCCACCACCATCTGCCACTAAAAATGCACAAAGGAACTGTAAGGAATTGATACACTGGAAGCGTAAGGATCATATGTGAATTAAATATGTGATTGAATCCTCATTGTCCATAATAAACACATAAGACATACCTCTTGATGAACTATAGGTGTGCAAGAGGCTCCTCCTTTGAGTTTTTATCCTTCTTCATAGATAGCTCCTCTTAGATGTATGAACCTTCCAAGCTATTCTCAAGTTAGTGGAACTAGTGTGTGAGCACTTATGTTTTTCTCTTTGACTCTCTTGATGATGTACCATCCACAACCACTCTCTCTTGAAGGCTATAAAGGTTGAATATGACTTATAAAAGAGACAAGAGAACCCTCATTCTCCTTTGGACTTTTTTCACACATTAATTAGACCCAACTTGAAATTTTACTACCAACAAAGTGTTAGTCGAGTGGTAGTAGCTGCTCAAAATCTCCGTAATGCAAGTTCAAGACCCGGGAAGCGCATATGTTAGGAAGGAGAGTCCTTAACTGCTTTCAACCCCCAATTGGATTAGTCCTAAAATATGAATCAATTAGTAGAAATACAAAAAAAAAAAAAAAAAAAAACCTTGAAATTTTACTCTAATTTAAGTTTAAGAGTACAATACGAGCATTATGTGTCATATGCCCAAGGATCAAAGTATAAATGAATGAGGAGAATGTTATACTTAGTACTTTTTTTTCTTATTATTTATTATTACCAATTTTGTTATCATGGATCAAAATCAAATCAACGGCTCTCACTTGATATTACTTTGTAACCGTTAATTTGATTTTAATCCAACGATAACAAAATTGATAATAAGAGGTAGTTAGAAAAAATGATAGTAAATATAATATATCCCAATGATAATATATAAAATTTCATTTATATAAGTTATATGTAGCAATATCAAAGTTAAAAGAAAATGTGGTTATAAAATCACAAATAAGAATACAGATGAAATCTTATAATTATGACAGTGAATGCGGCATATAATTTTTTAGAAGTTGAGATAGATATATTTCGTGTAACTATATTTATATACGAAATACGTTATTCTTTATTGTAATTTTTTTTTAAATGAATTGTTCTTTTTTTTTTAAGACAAGAGGAATTAAAAATGAATTGTTCTCTAGATACAAGGTTTGTGGTTTAAATCACATTTTTTCTCTTCTTTTTTATTTTATTTTACAATTTCAGTTACACATAATTCTTTAAAGCTATTTAAAAATTTACGTATTTAATTTATCCATCTAGGTATAATATAAAATTTTTTTTATTCTAATGTCAAGTAAGAATTTTTTTTAAGTTATCTACATTGACTGCAAAAAAAACAAATCTTTTTATTAAAGAACACTTGGCGCTAGAATCATTGATAAGTGATTGAAACACAAGGAGGTGGAAACACAAGGAGGTGGGAATGTGAGTTAATTAAGATAGGGATTACACAGATGAGGAAATATTGACTTAAGGGGGCGTTAGGTACAGGATAATTTTTTTTTTTTATCGGGAACAAATATTTTCTTGGAAAAAAGTGAGAATTTTTTTTTACCGGGTATGTTAAAAAAAAGTGTTGGTAGGCCAAAATTTTACCGAAAAAATTGAATGAATTTTACTGATGTTATGTTTCGATAATTGTAAAATATTGATGAAAAAGAAAACCAAAATTACCAAATAACCCCATTCTTATGGGTTTTATGACAGACAGGAGTGAATAAAAAGAACCCCATAAAAAAAATTGAGAGCACACGAAATGGAACAAGAAAGCAGTAGAGATGTAGAGAATCCATATACATCACAACAAAGACATGCTACCTGAAATTGGGTATCCTTTGAAGCTTGAATATGGTATCGCAAGCTTCTTCCTCAACACTGCAAGGTCACAAAAATAAAAGAAAAAGCTTTGTAAGACATAAAAAAATGTAGTTCATGAACACTGCACACTGCGCACCACACACCACAATTAAACTAAGGCACTGGATATTTTTGTCTTGCAAATTTTAGTTGTCGTTCCCATCGCCTGACAAATACTTTTTACCATACCTTTGAGGGAAACTTTGATAAGGAAATTATGTGTAAACATGGTTGACGGGAAAACATATCTCCCACTCAATTTTTAACTCTTCCATGTACCAAACATAGCCAACTTAATTTCCCCACCCAACTCTCCTGGCAAAATATTTTTTTTTCATCGTAACAAACGCCCCCTAATACTTAAATTTTTTCTTCTAAAAATTGTATAAAGTGAATCTCATTCGCAATATTTATAAAAAGAAAAACTTGGTTAAGTAATCACATCTTGAGCCAAAATGTCACATACTTAAAAATCAATTAAAACGAATGTTTTCATTGAGTTTTACTTGATGTGACTCGATTACTTAAAATTTTAAATTTATTGAGTTAATTCAAACTAAAAATTATTTTAAAAAATTAGGAAGAAAGTATAATTTTCTTAAAAATAAAATAAAATTGATCACTTTAATTTTATACAAAATTCGAACAATGTTGGCCCAATGTGGATGACCATGGCCCGTGATCGTCGAGGTCCATCTCCTCCAAGCTAAGAGAGCGAATGGCGCGTGGAATATACTTGCTCTCATCACTTAACGGGACCGTGACCACGCGTGACGGCAAATACCAGACCAACTCACGGAAGGCACGCTCCGTCAAACCCTCCCACACACACTTTCTCTCAACTCAACGCCCCACTCTCTTTCCCTAACGTCCCCGACGACGCCGTTCCCCAAACCTAACGTCCTTTCCCTTCTTACCCCTTATGGCCTCTTGCGACGATGACGACGATTTCTCACTCCTCCGTGACGACAACCACCACCACCACCTCCACCAACCCTACCCGCCGCACCACCACTTCTCCACCGCCATCGTCGCCGTCTCATCCGTCGAGCAGAAACCCGCCTCCGACGACGCCGAAGACTACGGAAATCCCTTCGACGACGACTGCGGGAGCGAGAAGAGAAAGGAGCGGGAGGAGATCGGCGACGGAACGACGCAGTACGGATTCAACAAGAGATCGAAGGCGGCGGCGGCTGCTTCAAGCTGCAGCGGCGGTGGCAGCGGCAGCGGAGGAGGAGGAGCGGAGTACCGGAAGGACAGGGAGGAGTGGAGCGACACAGCGATCGTGTGCCTCCTTGAGGCTTACACGGAGAAGTTCACGCAGCTGAATCGGGGGAACCTGAGAGGGAGGGATTGGGAGGAGGTTGCGACGGTGGTGAGTGAGCGATGCGAGAACCAATCGAAGAGCGTGGAGCAGTGCAAGAACAAGGTGGATAACCTGAAGAAGAGGTACAAGCTAGAGAGGCATAGGATGAGCAATGGCTGCATTTCGACCAGTCATTGGCCTTGGTTCAAACAAATGGAACAGATCGTTGGTAATTCTCTGCCTGCAAAGTTTGCAGATGAGGATAAAGCTGTTTCTTCTTCTGGGAATTCACCCAGGCAATCCAAGAGGTATTAAGCAGCGTAATCTTTATATTGATGTGTAGTATAAAGTATTAGTGGAAGTTGTAATTTCACTGTGCTTTATATTTACCTGAGGATTTGTTCATTTTGTTTTCTGATTTTTAGTACATTGTTTATCTTCCTAGTGCCTGAATCTGTTCATTTGCTGCATCATAAATACTTAATTTTACTCTTTGGTGTAGTTTTGAAGCATGTTATATTTTGTATAATCTTAGCATTACATGATATGGACTTTTGGTCATGTTATTTATGCACAAATTTAGACTTTAGACTGTAGAATAGGATTCTGGAATAAATAGGGGTGTATGGATTTGACTGATACTGAAAATTTGCTTTCTTCATTGGTATTGTTGCAAATAAGTGTCATGCTATCTTCACTGGTGCACTTCTGGTTCACAAATCACATTGGTAACTTAATATGGTAATTCCAATTTGTACTGCTAGGTGGTGTTACTAGGATGAAGTAGCATATTGACTTTATTGTAATTATTTGGACTATTTAATGTTGAATGTCATTCAATACAAATTATTTTACACTTTTCTTTTACTTGTTCTTGTAATATTGTGAACGTTGAGCCTTCCCCTGTTTTTTTTTTCTAGATATGGAGTGGCAACGCCCAGCAGTGGAGGTCAAGTAAATAGCATGAAGTCCAAAGCATTGTCAAACCTTAGATGGCGGAGGGTAGTCCTCAAAATTAGTGGAGCAGCTCTTACTGGTTCTGATACCTGCAATATTGACCCTAAGGTTTGTGGTTTGGTTGTAACTAAAAATGAAAAAACGGTTGTGGTATGGTTATAAATATGTGAAAAGTTTGACTGTATTATTTGACTCATGAGTCATGACCTCTTTGGTCTTTTTCAAGGAGAGGTGTAATTGTTATCTGGATGTTGGGAGAAAACTTACTCCGTTTGTTTGTTTAAATTAATCGCCAGGTGGCCATGTTAGTATCAAGAGAAGTTGCGATAGCTTCCCGCCTTGGTGTGGAGGTATCAGTTCTCTTGATTGTCCTTAGGAGTTTGGTATTCTGCTACCCTTTTCAGTTTAGCTGACGCATGCTTCTTTTTGTGTGATATTTCAGGTGGCGATTGTTGTTGGAGGTCGTAATTTCTTCTGTGGAGATGCATGGGTAACTGCAACAGGTTTAGAAAGATGTACTGCATACCAAGTTGGGTAAGGTTAATCACTAAAATTTCTTTGTATATTTTATTTACGCCATTATAATTTTACTATAAGTTAATCACAATAAATAAATAATTAAATAAATAAATGGAAAAATAGATTTAGAGGGCGTTTGTTTCAAGGTTTCTAATTACATTCCTTGGAATCACATTCCTAGTAATACTATGACCTAGAATGCTATTCTTGGGTATTTTAGAAATATCTGTTTGGTTAGCATTTAAAATTCTTGGAAATAGCTTAAAAGTTTGTTTGATTCACAATGCATTTCGTAGGAATATATGTGATATTTCTCAAAATGCCCTTACTATATAAAATATTATTTAATATTATTCTTTTAAATGTAATTGATGAAAAATTTGTCCCAGTAACTGACTCTCTGTTCCCTAGAGATGTAAGATTTGGAGGGGAATGCAGATAGGGAACCAAGAAGTAGAACCTTCCTGCCAAGCTGTTAGATAGCTATAGAGATAACTGCATGGAGTAAAATAGACAGGCTTAACAAAATGCAGATAGGGAACCAAGTAGTAGAACCTTACTGCCAGCTATAGATATAACTGCATGGAGTAAAATAGACAGGCTTAACAAAATGTTGAGTCTGAGTGTGAGAGAGAGAAAGCAGGGGAAGGAAGAGGGAGTGGCAAGTGGAACGTGGGAGTGGCAAGTGGAACGTGGGAGTTAGAGATTAATGGGTGAGTATTTTTGTACTTTTGCACAATATGATTGATGCCCACATTGTTGTGATAGCCAATGTCTCATGGGAATGAAAATGGACCAAAATGCGGGCTTACCAATTTCCTTGGAATAATTGATTCTTGGGAATATATATATATATATATATATATATATATAAACTTGAACCAAACGTGGGAATATTTCGTTCCCGCCTTTAGATTATAACAAAGCCTAAAACAAACGCCCCCTTAGGTTTCAATGCTACCATCCTATCCTGATTACAAATGGATGATCCAAGGTAAACAATGAAGATATAGCTAAAGTTGTGATGTGGGAGAGGTAGCACCTTGGTGATAGTGCCAGAGAAGGCCACTGCTGGGAAGTGAACTTTGATTTGTAAGGAAAATTGGTAGTGGCGTTTGCAGAGCTCTTACCTTGTCTGGGTCACTAGACTACAAAGAGGATAAAAGACTCACCTCAATTTAAATTTGGGCAGTTTTGATTTTAGGGTTTTATGATGAATAAATTTATATTAAAATTTTTAAAACAATTTGTTTCTTGTGTAACAGTTGAAGCTGTCAACTTATATTATTATTTTTATCTGGTTTATGTGTTTCTTTTCTCTCTGAAAGCATAAATGTGTTTTTGATGCTTTAACTTTGTAGGCAACGTTGTGCTCAGGCAAGTATCTTCCTGATGCCTTGCACATGGGAAATATTGGGGCTGGTGCATGCATGGCCTTTAGTCTATTGTTTACATACTTAGGATGCCATGAGATCTCCTTTTTAATCTTTCTGGTTAATGTATTATCTTCTAAAGTGATTTACTTTTGGTATTCAAAAAAAAAAAAAGTGATTTACTTTTGTATCTGCTTTACTTTAAAATATGGACCTAAATGATAAGTGGCTTCTTGAATATGCCAGGATGATGGCAACTGTGATGAATTCAATATTGCTCCAATCAACTCTAGAGAAGATGGGAGTTCAGACTCGTGTACAATCTTCAGTTGCCATGCAGGAGTTTGCTGAACCATACAATAGGCAGCGGGCCATCAGACATCTTGAGAAAGGAAGAGTTGTTATATTTGGTGGCATTGGTTTTGGCACTGGCAATCCACTCTTCTCAACTGACATTGCTGCAGCTCTACGTGCTTCAGAGCGTATACTGCTGTCCTATTCTTCTTATTTTTTTAAATGAATTTCTTATTACCTTTTTTTCCCAGCATAGTATACACATATGGGCAACACATATGTATGTTTTTCTTTTTTCTTTCTTTCTTTCTTGCAACCAATAGCATATACATCTTTCTACATTGCAGTTAATGCTGAGGCAGTCCTCAAGGGTACTAACGTAGATGGTGTATATGACTGCAACTCCCGCGACAACAATTTCACTTTCGAGCACATATCTTTCAGGGAGCTGGTGTCAAGAGGTGTCACCTCTATGGATATGGCAGCACTAACATTCTGTGAGGAAAATGCTATTCCTGGTTAGTATGTAGCATTTGGTCTTTCTATGGGTATGTTTCTGGCTTGGTGCTTTAGGTATTCTTGCATGAATAGGACCTTGCGTACTTAAATCGGTAGGCACTGCCTATGCAAGAAAAATAGTTGGTGCTTAGTCGTAGTTCTCCTAGAGTTAATATTTTACTTTTATGTTGAAGTTTATGAGTACCCCAACATAAAGTAACCGACAAAGTGGGCATTTTATTATATATTTTATGTGATGAATTTTATTCCCCCATTTGCTTGTACAGTTGTGGTTTTTAATATATTGGAGCCTGGGAACATCTCAAAAGCTTTGTGTGGAGAACAAGTTGGCACGCTAATTGACCAAACTGGAGCAATAAGCTAACAATTAATTCAACCGACTTAATTATTATTGCGCATACTGGAACCATTAAGTTGAGTGGGAGGGATACTTTCCACCACTGAGATGCTTGGAGAAGAAAATATCAAATCTGGACAGATTCACAGTGTATCTGGCGAAGTTAGTGGGAACTGCGTTTTGGAGCTGAAATCACAAATTCCCTATCCCTATGTTTTTTAGGCGGTGGTTGTACTTTTATTATGTGCTTCTGTAAAAAGAAAAAAAAAAATGCTTGTGTATATTATTCCAGGATGAGTTGTAGCATAGTAATGTATTAGCAGTAGCTTTTCTTTGTTAGTTAATGCAAACAAATACGGAGTAATTTAACTCAAAATTCAACTTTATTTATTATTGCATATGTATTAATCACTTCGATTAAGCCCATTTTTCCTCGGATTTTAGTAGAGGAAAAACAGAGCCGATATGCAAAATAAAGAGACTAAAGAGATTAGTTTAAATGGTACATATTTGATTTCGTTTAAGTAGATTTTGAGTTTAAGTCCTGTGAATATAAAAAATTCCTTTGGAAGAACTAGTTCTATTATAATATAGATGTTTTCATCTTAAATAGAATTGTTTTCTGGAGAATATGCAAGTGGTTTATCTAAAAAATAAATAAAGAAGAGATATAAAAGTAAAAAGGAATTTGTCCCTTTTTTATTGGTTTAAGTAAGTCCCACTACTGAAGAAAGGATTTCCACGGGGGAAGTCTATCGTAATATTTGAAGCCCCACATGCATATAACTTTACCAAATTAGTTATTTCTTCTTTTCTTAAATCTCATCTCGGCATGGAACGTGAAACCTTTTTGTCTTTTGAGGTTTGGAATTCCCATGTTCAATAATTCGAAGGTACTCACTTGTTGTAACTTACAAGCGATTTCTGGGATGCGTTTAATTCATAATGAACTTGCATGGAAATAATATATTGCACGCCTTGCTTTTGAAAGCAATTTTAAGGATTTGGCTTTCCTAACACGATTCCATGATTTTAGAGTTGCAAACGAGAGGGATTTAAGTTACTCTTGAACTACTTTCATCTTAAAAAATGGTAGAAATTTAATTAAGCGATTTCCAATTAAGAAGTGTTAAAGAAACAGCAGACACAATTCATGATTGCGGATTATGACCGTCCACTGATGCAAACTTCAAATGTATTATACAATTCAACTAGACAAAATTTATTCTAAGCTCAAGCTCAAGATCATGAGATTTTTTGCTACTTTCAACAATGGGATTCCACAAAGCTCACAAATCTTACAAATAAAACTCAACACAATTAATGCAACTAGCAGAGGAGCAAAGAAAGTTAACCGCACTGGAACTAGCTATATATAGAATGACACTATATACCATGCAATTAATTATACACTCCTAAGCTAGACCCCATCTTCAGTGGTGGGAAGGGAAGGTGAAAGTGAATTGCGTGATTCATCATAGTCCTCTCCAATAGGAGATTGCTCCACCCTTATATCCTCAATCATCTTGACAACTTGTACCATGGTTGGCCTCTTCTCTGGCTGTGGAACCACACAAGCCAACCCAACATGCAGCATTGAAACAAGTTCTTCCTCAATGTTTTTGTAACGCAAGAGTTCTTGATCAAACACCTCTCCTGTCCACTCTTCCTTCACAACTGAACGAACCCATTTTGGAAGATCCAATGCTTGTTGTTCCTCTTCATCCATACGAGGACGTGCTGGTGAAGGGTATTGTGATGAAGGTGCTTTCCCTGTAAGAACTTCCAACAACAACACCCCAAAACTGTACACGTCTGCTTGTTGAGATAGCCTCTTCTGTTCTGCTTGTTCAGGAGCCTTGTACCCTCCCAATCTTGCAACGGCGTGAACCGGGTTCAAAAGCAGTGACAACCCAAAATCAGAGATGCAAGCAACACCATTCTTGTCAAGAAGCACATTGGATGATTTCACGTTCCCATGAGGCACTTTTGCTGCACTATACTCTGCATGAATCCGAGCAAGCCCTCTTGCTGCCCCTAACACCAAGCTTATTCTTGTTGTCCAATCCAATGGAATTCTTCCCGGACCTCGATTCCCTATCAATATCCAATAAAACCCAAAATTACAAAAAAAATCATTTGAATAGACCATTAATTGACAAATGAACTTAACACAACATCTCCGCCCAAAATTTAAAAGATTAATATATGATTCCTTCCATTTGAGGGCGAGCTTCGAGCAGTGGTAAAATTGTTTCTCTGTGACTGAAAGGTCACAATTCTAATATGAAAAACAGCTTCTTTGCAAATATACAAGGATTGTCTTCACCCTGCCTACCCTCACTAATCGGGATTTAATGGGGAATGATTTTATAGAGTCCTTCCATTTATATTATTCTCACTTGGGTCAATCCTAAACAATGTGTGATTTTATCATATCCCTCACACTTGAATTTCCAAAAGAATTATTTGAATAAAAGATGTTTCATGCGAGCCATTTTGTGTACACCATTTCTATACCAGCAAATTTGGTTAAGAATTACTAGTTAACAAGGTCTATAAGATAGTCAATAGAGAAACAACTTGTTGTTAGCTCATATCGTATAAGAGTGATGTAGAGTAGAGTAGCCAAGTATCAATAAATTCTTGATAAATATAAAAGTGTAAGAAAAGTGTGAACAAAGTATAGGAAACAGATGATAGAATAAGACAAACCATGAAGAAGGGCATGCAAGCTTCCATTGGAGAGATAATCATAGACAAGAAGCTTTTCTTCCTTGGCATAGTAATAAGCTCTGAGTCTAACGATATTAGGGTGCTTAAGCTTCCCAATCACATCCATATACTGTTCAAACTCATTCCTAGCACAAGGGTTAGCATCCTTAAGCCTCTTAACAGCAACAGTGGATCCATCATCAAGCACTGCCCTATAAACAGTTCCCAAACTACCCTTCCCAAGCATCTCCGCAGAAGCACGAAGCAAATCCTCAAGCTCAAACTCACTCCTCCTATCAAAAAACACAAGCTTGCTCCTATCAGTACCATTTGTTCCATCACTATCACAACCACCACCACCACCACCATCATTGGCATAAACCTTCTTCTCACTCCCATAACTACTCCCACTTTTTCTCTTCCCACTCTCACCACTACCCACAAAGGAATTAGAGCTTCTACCTCTAGCACAACAATGAGCAACAACGAAAGATGTCACCACCAACAAAGCCACACAGTTTGCAACAACAATGGCAACAATGGCTCCAGGGCTTAACCCTTTATGTTGTTGTTGTTGTTGGTTTTCAGGTCTTGCTATAACGCTTGTTTGTGGCAACGAGCTTGGGTTTGAAGGAACGGTTTGAACCGGTTCAGAAAAAGAAGGTGGGGTTGTTTCAGTGGAAGAACAAACCGGTAATTGAGTTGAACCACCACCACATAGTCCTTCATTACCAGAGAAGCTTTCATAACCGAACTTTTTGAGCATTGGGTTTGGTAACTGTCCATAGAACTCGTTGTTGGTCATGTTAAGTTCCCTGAGGTTCACCATTGAAGATGAAAGATCAGGTATGTGACCTGAGAGCACGTTGTTTTGGAGCCTCAGTGTTAGAAGCTGAGTCAAATGGGAAAGTTCTTTTGGGAGATTTCCATGTATGTTGTTATCGGAGAGGTCAAGGCGGAGGAGGCCTTTTACCGAGGATATTTCCGGCGGAATCTCGCCGGAGAAGTCGTTTCCGGCGAGGTAGAGGAGCTTGAGGTTGGTGCAGTTTGAGAGGAGAGGCGAAACGGTGCCGTTTAAGCGATTTTCGTGGAGGTCGAGGAGGCGGAGGTGGGTGAGGGGTGTGAGTGGGTCAATGGTTCCTCGGAGGTTGAGGGAAGGGAGGGAGAGTGATGTGACTCGGCCGTTTGGGGAGCAGCGGACGCCACGCCATGCGGCGGGGCAGGCGTCGCCGCCGGTCCAGTTTTGGAGGAGGGAGCCGTGTAAGTCGGCTTGGCTGCGGAAGAGGGTGAGTGCATGGGTGTCGTTGTGGTGGTTGAGACTCAATGAAAGACATGGTAAGTGAAAGAAGAATAAGAAGAACAAGACATGGTTCTTCTTCTTCATCATAGGATGAAAATGAAAATGAAAATGAACCTTGTTCATGATGTTGGGAGCCTTGTCTTGTCTTAGGCGGGAAGTGGAAATAATGCTAGTGTTTTGAAAATTATAACAAGTGAAAATGATCATCCAAGACAAAGTTTTGAAGGATATTCATGTGGCATGATTAGAAAGAGAGTGAGAGAGAATGTGAATGTTTATGTGTTTGTGAGAGAGAGCATTGGTTGTGTTATTATTATATGTTGTGGTGATTAGGACAGATGGAATATATATGATGATTATGGTTTGTGGGATTTGGAAGAAGGGGGATGGTTGTTGTGTGAATGATTGCTGTTGTCCACTCCTCTAAAGAAGTTGAAGAATGATGAGCAACGAAATTTTGCTTTTTCTTTTTGCTTGGTGTGTTCTGCAAAAGTGTAAAAGAAGAAAATGTGTTATCCTTCTTGATCCTGATGATCTGAAATATGGTCCCTTTTCTTTATAGTAATGAAATTCCTCATTTCACCCCTATTCTATTTGTTTATGATTTACAATTACTAATTGTTGAAATTAAATCTTTCTTTCTTTCCCTAGTTGATTATTATAATAAGCTTCCGCGACAACACTTTATTACCTTTAATTAGTTATGCAGAATGATATATTTCAATGGCTAATTTATAGTCACTTCATATTTTATTGTCTATTGCATCTCTTGTATTGGAGTAAACTAAATCAGAAGTCATAACCAAAGACTAAGTGAAGCTAATAGTTCTCTAATGACTTGCTTAACCTTTCATGTCTTGAATAGTCCTTAGTTCTTGTCATGAGTTTACAATGTGCGTGCAATGATGCTTTTGATGATAAGGTTTTAATAAATATGAACATAACAATTCTTAGTCCCTACCCCTTTAAAGGTCAATTTTTTGGTTATTATGGAAGTGTAAAGGAGTTTAACTGTTGAAAATCACCTAGAAAATAATCCATCCTAAATAATTGTAGGTGATAGTTTTCCTCCTCTTGTATTGTTTTATCTTCCTTTTTTCTTTTTTTTTCTACTCAGTTCATAATATTGCTGCATGCCTCTTCTTGAAACATCATGATTAACCAGTTATTTCCTTTAAGGGGCGTTTGGTTGAGGATAAATTTTTTGAATACTAGGGAAATAGTTGGAAAGTGAGTTTGATAGGAAAATGTAAAGAAAGTTGTTTGGTTGACCGAAATATTACCAGGAAAATTTATTTAAATTTGCAAAATCTATGTTCGGAAGAAACTTCGCACCTGTTTTTTCACTTCCCCAGTTAACTCAAAATACCACATCTCAAGTGACATTCTATAACAGTGAATTTCATCTAAAAATCAACACAAAAGTCATTTCCCCATCTATCCTATTTGTCTAGTATTTTTTTAAAAAACCTGAACCAAACGTGATATTTTCCAATACCCACTTACAGGCTTTTTTACCCTTATAACCCTTTATTATTAATTAATTACCGATTTGACCTTGATTATAAACTATTTCAAAAATTTAACCCTCTCAAAAAACATAACACCAATCTGCCCCTGTTTGACCGTTGACCACCAAGCCTACCCGGGTACACCCCTCTGTACCCGGGTATTTTTTGAAAATTTTTGTCTACCCGGGTAGGGAGGCGTGTACCCGGGTATTGTTCTTCGCACCTGAGAAATTGCTTGAATTATTTACCCGGGTAGCGAGGGGTGTACCCGGGTAAATCTTCAACCACCCGGTATGATTACTCTTTGGATCTCCCATGCACTCTTCTTCTCCAAGCTTTGAATATGGAGGCACCGACTATCACGTGCTCTGCCTCTGCAACTTTTTTGGGTCTGTAAAGCACACAAATATTTTTCAATGATTATTTCAGAAAGAGAATTCTCAGTTAACAGTATAAATCCACAACCACAAACCTTGTCCCATGCATGTCTTCCCTGAACGTGATAATTCGTCATTTACCAGTAAAATGAAAAGCTGCATGCTCACACTAAATTTCTGTACCATGAACCCTGTCTTTATTTTCTTTCCGTCTCACTCTCCCCAATAGACCCGGTACCACATTTATATATAGGAGCGCGATTTTGACGTACATAAAAGTAGACCCCATCATAATCAATACGAACAGGGACCGCTTTGATGAGCAGTAAAGTGTTGATGTATGGAAATTCCAAATCCATTCTCAAAGCTAAAAGCTCTTCAAATTGGTTAGGCATGCTTAACTTGATAATACTGATCTATCTCATTAGCTGTAAAAAAGAGAGAAAAAATACCAAATGGGTGGTCGAAGATTTACCCGGGTACACCCCTCTCTACCCGGGTAAATAATTCAAGCAATTTTTCAGGTACGAAGAACAATACCCGGGTACACGCCTCCCTACCCGGGTAGACAAAAATTTTCAAAAAATACCCGGGTACAGAGGGGTGTACCCGGGTAGGCTTGGTGGTCAACGGTCAAACAAGGGCAGATTGGTGTTATGTTTTCTGAGGGGGTTAAATTTTTGAAATAGTTTATAATCAAGGTCAAATCGGTAATTAATTAATAATAAAGAGTTATAAGGGTCAAAAAGCCCCCACTTACACTTTCCCATCAATCTCAAAATAAATCTTCAACCAAACACTGTAGGGTGTATGCAACATCATAGTGGGTAGAATTTTTGTCAACATTTTTATTGAAGGCTGTGAATTTAATTTTTGAAATCTTTTGGCAGAAAAAAAGAAGCATTATTTGAAATTCAATGGTCCACAATTGTAACATCAGTCCTTTATGTTGAGCTGTGGACCATGAGGCATTGCCTGTGTCAATGCAATTCATTTGTGCAACTTTTACTGCTCATATATTTAACTCAAATGAAAATGATTTATTTTAGGGAAGAAATTTTCACCTTTTAAATGATAACTTTTTTCTCCTATTAATCACTTATGACATAAGTGAGATTTACAAAATAGCGAAAAAAAAAATTCAAAATGAGATCCACTTATGCTATAAGTCACTAAAAATATATTTTTTCCTCTAAAAAAGAAAATGATTGCCCTTTATTTTATTCGGAAAACTTTAATTCTTTCAACAAAAGAGAATGGTTCATTATTTGATTAGCCTGCTGCTCCACTTTTTCTATGTCATGGAAGAAAAAAGAGGTCTCTCCTTTAAGTCATGAGCAAGCAAGGTTTTTCTCACACCTGCCCTGAAGTGATCCAATTCAATAATAAACTTAAAAATACAAGGAACATGAATTTCTTTAATATTTATTTAAGTCAAATGCATCAAGTATAGTCAAATTAATATTTGAACCCAAAAGAATTGATTTTTCAGTTCGGAGTGGTACAGTACAGCCAAATACGGAAAAGTACTTTTTTTTTTTTTATGGGTTTTACTTTTATCTTTTAACATAATACAATAAATTTTTCTACTCTCACAACATTTTGTGGGGCCCACACTTTTTAAAACAAAAAAATAAATAAAAAATTAAGGCACGCAAAACGAATCTCTATAACATTACACAACCATTTTTCTTACAACATAACTCTTATAAAACCCTTTTTTTATACATAAGTCCTTTTCTTTTTTCTTTTATACTTTGTTTTTTTCAAGGGAAATAATCTGGTTACTTTAAGAGCTTGATTCTTTTTGCAGAAAATAGGCACATAATGGCCACGGCCTATATAATTAAAAAATATAAAATATATCACCGATTTGATTTTTCTGACAAATTATTTACCCAATAAATATTAGTGAAACACGCATAAAAAATATGGTTTAAGTTGCGTATCAGTACATCATCTCCATGAGTAACTTATGCAAAAGTCTTCATGACCAACTAATGCAAAAGTTAGTGTAATGGAAGATGCTTATTTTGACACTGCGCATTCAAGTCATATATGCCCCAATGCTGTTTTGTAGGAATAAATTTTTGGTACAAGATTCAGTGCATCACACCAATGAAAGTATTACACATCATAGGAGAGAGAAAAAATTTGACAGAAAAAAAAAAAAAACTTTAGCTGACATGAAATATTTCTATTAGTGGCATATACTGAATCTTTAGTATAACAGTAATACCAACAATTTATCCGTTTTGTAAAATGCAATACATGATAGATAGATGTATTTTGATTTTTGCACAAGTGCCGCAAAAATCATATATGAATAACAATTTGTTCTGTCATTTTCCCCCTTCCTCCATAAATCATTTGAATGTGCTACAATTCTAATATAAAATGATATGATAGTTAATGACACATGGGTGGGGGCAATGGGTGTTGCATGCTTTCACAAAAAGTCAAGGAATTGTTTCAGCTTCTGTTTTTTTTCTCTCTCTTTATTATTAGTTGTTGCATTAAATGACACTATGCTTTGGACCAAGAAACTTGCAAAAGCAAAAGAAAAATAAAGCAGCAGAAATTGAAGGCGAGATTGGCGTTTCAAATGTAAAACTTTTCGAGCCACTCACTGAGTCAGAGGAAGACTTGAAAAAGCACATTAGTACTGCATGCAGTTGCTATAGGGAATCAAAATCAGTGTTTCTTTCTTTCAATTGCTTTTATTATATTGGAAAACGTGGCATAGAAAAAAAATGGTTTTAGTTTAAGAACATTCTACTTAGAGAAAAGCTAAAGCTGAAGATTTTAGTCTCCAAACTGTCTATTTGGCTACACATATTGTGGCATCAAGCAAAAAATCATCAAATAGAGGCAAAAAAACAGTGTCAGATCACAAAGAATCCAAATCTCTTTTATTTTCACTTGCATCTGCTATAAGCACTACTAAGTGCAGAGTATGGTTTGGGAAAGGAACAAAAATGGAAAATCAGGAGACAAGAAGCATTGTAATTTGTGACAGTCTGCAACTAATGTTTAGATTGGATAACAATAAAGAAATCTACAGATTTTGAAAGATCTATTCTCGTTAATGTAACATGAGAAATGCTTGACACTCTCTTTTCGATATTTTTGTTATTAAGTGAAATTTCATACTAGTCTAATTATATAGTTTAAGTGCATTTTCTAATAGTGGGTC